TTGTGTGATCCTATTGATTGTATCCCTTTTAGAAACTTAATTTCAGTTTTTCTCCTTTCACAGAAGCGCTGCAGGTGCATGATGCGACGACTGAATATATCCTCATGGTCGTTTATGCTGCTATTCGCGCATATAAAGCTAAAGCCCAGTACAAAACAACACCAAAAAAAAGACATTCTAATCTTACTGATTAACGATCGACTAATGAGCTTCGTTCGACGGTCAGGAATATAAAAATGAACAAAATGCTGTCAATCTACAATTCTCCACCGTATTTACTATGCTGTGCGCAGATTCATGTAACTCAAAAACTTGCATACACGAGCTGAGACCAGACATGAGATTTGATCCTAGCCACCACTCGCGTCCATATTGATAAATTCCACGTTTTGCGTTGAAACGACCGTACGCTCAATTTTCTGTCGTACGTTCGTTTCGTAAATGAGGCCCAGTGTGTTCTGCCTTGCACGCGTTGCATATCTGTAGTTTCCCGGGCATTTCCTCCAATCACGACCCAGCTTTTTTTGAACTATGCCTTGTAGTTCAGATTGCTTGTAACTGCTGCATACACAGTGGCACAATGTGATTCGGTCATTCTGCAAGTTAGACTTTACCCTTCAGGATATAATGAAGTCACATATTTCTGTAGTAAAATGCCCTAGTAGTTCTGAAGCAGGATCAGCTTGCTCTTTTGAGGTGCTGATAGCTTAATCCTTGCGCAAGGTTAGATTGAACATTCCCAATTTATCAAAAGAAAAGAAAACAATAAAATATCAACAATATATAATATACATATATATATATATATATAGGCTATATATATATTTTACAATGTCATGTATTATATTGTTATATTATATATGATCAAGTCATTTAAGTTTCAGTATATTTGAATATACAATACTATGGAATAATATATGATACATGGTGGATCTTCTGTAGCTGACACTTGAGAGTATTACGGAGTAATTGATTCTATACTGTAAAAAATGATTGTGATTTTAACAGTAAAATACTGTAAAAATGCAACAGTAAAAAATTGTTAATTGGCTAACAGTAAGTTTTTATATTATATACAGTGAATAAATGTAATTATATTTCATGTCATTTTACAGTAAAATACTGTTAAAATTAGTTTTTGGAAGTGAAAACAAAAAAGTAATTCTATAAATTACAGTGAAAAACCGTAAATTGGCACTCCCAGAATTCCCTGCATGACACTTAATATTTGATGTTTTTTTTAAATAACTGTTTTAGTTTTTTTCTTATCAGTTGTGTACATTAGGGTTTAATCTTACCGCTTCGATAATCGCAACCATAGACAGTTAACGAGAGTTGCATTGGCTCACCACCAATAGTTCTCCAGTAATGTCTGTGACACACTTTAAATTAGTCAGTAACTTCGCAGTCACGCTTAGCCAGCAGAAACTCAAAAAGTTCCCTTACTCAAAGTCCACTCTAATGTCCTCGAGATGGACTACCGTGCTCGTATTTCTAGCGAAAACCACATATACACATATTCTCTCGCTCGTCCTCTCTTCTATTCATATCCTGATAGGTTATTATTCAAAAATATTATTTAAAGAAAATAAAAATGACAGACCCAGCAGTTTAGGTTGTCTCTAAGCACATTTTTCTACAGTACATTTTAACCTAACTTTATACAGTTTTATAACTTTATCTAAATCAGAAACCCATTATAAATTCCCACATGGGCTACAAGAAGTTACATGCTGTCAGAAAATATGCTGGCTTTAGTTGCCAGCATTTTCTTTTCCAAAGTTGCTCAAAGCATTTATTTGGATTTTAAAAAAAACTGATCCCTGCAATGCAGTTTTCTTCTGTTGCAATTACATTTGTTCTTAGTATATTCAAGTAAACAATGAGATGAGGCATAGGAAGGCCACTAAACACTAAGATGTGGATGCAGTTGTAATTGCGAGTATAGAATATACAGGAACACTTTAGTTTAGGGTCCAATTCTAACTAGTTGCTTATTCGCATTCATATTACTAGCATATTGGCTGTTTATTAGTACTTATAAAGCACATATTAATGCATTATTCTGCATAAGCATATTTTATATCCCTTAATCCTACAGCATACCTAAACTTAACTACCTTATTAAGAACAACAAATTAAGAGTTTATTGAGGTACATTTGTTGCAACAGTCCTCGGTGCTCTTTGATTCGTCTTCTCTCAGTGCCCCATCCATTCACACAGAAGCCCCCATTAAATCACCTTCCAGTCATAAAGCATTGTGTGTGATGCCAGCAATATGCATGGATTCAAAGACCAGTACCAGCAACATGCTCTCCCCTTGGTCGTAGCAAACAAAAACATGAAACAAATATGTCATGCATGCTTCAGTGTTGGAAAACAATGTGTGAATTCTATTGATTGCTGTCCTTGGACAATTGCAGCTGAAGGCACAATGTTGTTGACCTCCATACATCAGGACATAATCAATGAAATGATATGACTGATGAAACGGACTCTTCTTTTGACTGATAATTCCAGCACAGAACAAGCTCCTCCAGTCTGACAGCTGTCAGAGACACCCACCAGACGCTTAGGGCTGTCAAATCCCTTCAGTGACCTTTTCACACTCTTATGGAAGGTGAGCTTGTTGGCTTAAGTAACAGTATTGAAGTTCCCATCTAAATACAGCTATGAATGTCACTGGATGAATAACACTGTAACTATTATTCACTCTACATTTATCTGTTTATTATCATTTATTTTTTGCTCTAAGAATTAGCACAACCTAGATATTTTATTGATCAAGTATCTAAGATCATTTTTATTTTTTATACACCGTTTTCAAAGAGGCAAACATTCTCTCTAACCTCAAAGTTGTAATAGTCCGTCAAGGGTTTGTCAATTTAGATGTATTGGTTTGCATGCCATTCAAACGCTTTACCATCAATACGATTTATATCTTTGATGTGAATCAAATATAGGATGGTTTCTTTAGCAGACTTGCCTCTTCTCTTGAGTAACAGTCAGCTGGTGATTTCTGGGATGTCACTCAGAATGGAATGACTTCAATAAAGCTTCTCGATTCATGATAAAGTACAGAGGTTACTTGAAGCTGTCAAAATCCGCACATCATAGTGAAGGTCTGTGAGTGACTGTCGGAAAACTACACTTGACAAGAGCAGCCAATCAATGGGTCTGCTGATTACAGGGTAATCACCCTAATTGTTTACATAGATTTTAATACGTTACTCATATATCAGACTTTATCACCATAAACTTGGATTTTGATCTAGGGCCAGGCCTAGATTATCTGCATCTACTTTTTATCTATAATATTTAATTTTTAATTCAATTTTAATAATTAATTTTAATTATTGTAGTATTAGGGTTAAAGATAAGCTACATTTTTTCCTCAACATAAGTCTAAGGACTCTCTAGTACAGGGGTGCCCAAACTCAGTCCTGGAGGGCCGATGTCCTGCAGAGTTTAGCTCCAACCCCAATTAGACACACCTGAAGCAGCTAATCAAGCTCTTACTATGCATACTAGAAACTTCCCAGCAGGTGCGTTGAAACAAGTTGGAGCTAAACTCTGCAGGACACCGGCCCTCCAGGACCGAGTTTGGGCACCCCTGCTCTAGTACATTTGAATAATAATAACCTAATAATAATAATCAGTGTTGGGGGTAATGCATTACAAGTAACGCGAGTTACGTAATTAGATTACTTTTTTCAAGTAACTAGTAAAGTAACGCATTACTTTTAAATTTACAAGAAGATATCTGAGTTAATTTTTCAAATAAGTAACGCCAGTTACTTCCCCCCCATTTATTGATTGAAAGCTCTCCTGTCCCCATGTTGCGAGAAATCGGGAGTAAAATGTTACTTTAGTTCTAGACTAAATGTGAACATGCATTTAATTAATCTCACTCACAAAAAAAAAGAAAAAAGATTCAGTTTTCCATAAAATTAATAAAAACAACTCAGAATATGACGCAAACCTACAATAATTAAATGTTAAATAATACAAATATTCTTCATGTATTTAATCCCATTTTATTATCCAGTGTCTTTGCTGCTGACCTTCGATGATCCAATTCAACCATATTAATAAGCAAAAATTACTCAAACTAACATTTGTTATTTTTTTATTGCTGAAGAGTGTTGAACTTTCTTCTTCTGAATTCTACTGTACAGACGTGTATTTACATTTCCTTCAGCCTGAGTATTTTGGTGTAAAATGGCTTTTATATTTGCCAAAAATAGAACTTTTTCTATCAAAAACAAACAAGCAAGCCCTGCCCAGATTAAAAAAAGAATGCAAAAGTAACGTAACGCATTACTTTCCATAAAAAGTAACTAAGTAATGTAATTAGTTACTTTTTTAGGGAGTAACGCAATATTGTAATGCATTACTTTTAAAAGTAACTTTCCCCACCACCGATAATAATAATATGACAATATTAACAGTGGCCAGTGGAAATATATGATTCTGATATATAATGACTCATTAAATTGAATGATGGCTAATAAGATGCACATAATTCACAAAGAATAAATAATTATAAAAACAAAGTTTTTACTATGATTAACAAAGCTGCAGAATTGATTAACAATTCTGTTAATGGGCCAACCAACGATGAATATTGGCTTTTGTTGAGATTTTGGGCACCATAAGCAGAATGCTGAAGCCCAAAAATGCTCAGCTGTGTTTACTGCATTGTGCACATTGGGAGATACTATAGTAAAGGATGCAACCACATACACTATGGTCAGTATATATTACCTGCACAAAGCATGGACTTTAGGCATTGTGAAGTAGCATCATAAATGAGTCAGAGACACTGTAATCTAGACAGCACAAGCAGGTTCAGTTACAGTTAGCAACATGCATCCTGCAGCATAGTCCCCACACATCCTTCTTCAGCCACCAACCTGTGTTTAACCCACCTGCACCTTGAAAGAATTCACTTTTATGCTGTTTTATTTAATCCAGCAATGAGTGGGAAGCACTGAGGCACCTCAGCACACTGCCCTCGGTCGGTTATAGATCCTCACTGCACGCGGGGAGAGGAGTATAGCAGCGCTCTCTGGCTCCTCTCATCTCATTCTCTAGAAGATGGCGGACTGCGCTTCACTGTTAGACGAGGAGCTCTCCTCATTTGTCTTCAATTACTTGACTGAAAACTCCGGCAGCCAGGTAAGCCATGCACCATTTCTGATGAAGCAGAAGCATGGCTATTTCTCCCCGGGTGTATTTTTGCACGTTACTGTCTGTGGCGCGATATTCTTGCATCATTTCAGCGATGCTGTCAGAGCGTCTCAGCCGGCGTCTGGGGTCCCTGGCGTCCGCGCTTCACGTGGAGCTCACAGGAAACAATGCGTTTACGCGAAAAGTGACTTCTAGACAAAGAATCGTTCGTTCGAAGTCTGCGTTGGAGGGCTAGCGATTAGACAAAGGTTGATAACTTCGCAAGCGGAATAGAATAAGTTCAGATGTGTTCATCAGTTTGCCAAAAATCACCAATTTCCCGGGCTGAGCGCGAGAGTATGTGACACGTGGTTGTTGTGGTGAACTTGACTCTAAGTTTGATAATATAGAAGCGCTCTGATTCATTGTGAGGTAGATGAAAATTCATATAGATCTGGAAAACTGTGTGTGTCAGTTTGACTGAGATTGTATTTTCTCAGTCTTTTTTTTTTTTTTTTTGCATCGCGTAGTTATTAATCGGTGCATATTACAACTACTAATGCAGTTCTTAAAGGCGATCAGTGTTTGTTTAATTCATATTCATAGCCTACCTGGCCTGCTTTTTTGAGCTTAACTGTAAAAAAGCTGTAAACCGAATGCATTGCCACTTATAAAGTTGAGAAACTGATACGCAGCACTGTAGGTCTTTACAAAATGTATACATATGGGTGTTATATATATATATATATATATGTGCATATCTGTATAATAGTGTAGAGATTCGCAATTGACGAAATGCATTGTTTTCGTAAGCGTTTGCGTAACTGTTACAAAACGAGCTTGATGCTAATCAGTCGTAGTCAAACGATCTGTGCATCATGTGCCAGTGTGTGCTGTTGATATTAATAAATAAACGCTGGGCATTTCGCACTTGTCATGTCAAGCAGGCAAGCGCAACGTGTTTATCTATAGATAGCCTACATTACGCGTAGCATAGGGAATCACAGTAGAACGCTTCAGAAGCCTGTTTTTAATCATATACTTTACACTTAGAGATTTTAGGTCAAGAATACGGTGCATTAATTTATTATTTAAAATTCAAAGTCTGGTACGTGCCGGTTAAGTATCATGTTCGTATCATCAATTCAGTTCGTGTCGGCTATGTTTACAAATCGCGCGCTCCGCGTAACGTTACTGTTACTGTGTGTCAGGTGTCACTGAAAGGTGACGACTCGTTTTCGGACTCCTGAACACATCTGAACGCTTTGAGGAAACGCTCGGTGGTGGTGTTGTCCTCTGTCCTTGTGCTCGTTTCGGGTTATTGTGCTGAGCGTGCTATCTGGTCAGTGTAATAGTACTCCATCCTCGTGACTGGAGTTATAGAACACTGTTACTGCAGTCATGTGCTGCTCGCAGACAGACGTAGTAGAACGAGCGGGGGGCGGGACCACTGACGCACACACTCCCTCCTCGGCTCGCGCATGTGACTGACTGACTGAGTGCCGCTGCGCAAAGTGGAGCCGTTCAGAATCAGATCACGACTAATAATTCACCATCCACGCACCTTTTTGATTTATAAACAGTATTTACATTCATGCAAAAATGCCATTCGTGCCGGTGCTTATTCGAGGAATAAACTATTGGATTTAGACTGTATAGTTTATGTAATCTCCTAAATTCTCTATCCAGTACAGCGTACTCCATGTTTTGTATTACGCGGAGAAATTTAAAGACCATCGCCCACTTGTTGCATTGATAATTAAGTAGAATATTGATTTTATTGACGAGGAATATTGATTTGAGTTTAAATTATTGCATGAGATGTATCAGAATCGAGAGATAAATAATGATTAGCCATCGTGTTGTTGTCACGCGTATTAAATGAATGCTTAAAATATTGATTTGAAATGGTTTATCACGTGATTAAAACATTTGGCTGTTGAATGATGATTGACCAATCAGAACCAAGAGCTGTGCAGTAAAGCTAATTGTAAATAGTAGGCTAAATACTTGTTTTCCACTCAAATATAAAAAAAGTGTCCAAGAATAATGATAATCTCAGAATAGCCAAATATCAGCCGATATTTTATCGGCCTGGCTGATATGTCGGTCTGTCACTAGTGCTGTGGGAAAAAAGACCTTCATGCATTCCATTTTCAGTTCCCCCCTCAGTGCATACTTATATTCTGCTGTTGACATTTACACATTTACTGCATAAAATCTGAACATTTTAAGGTTTTGAAATCCATTCCACTGCACCAGTTCTCAGGCGAGCTCGCAGTTGTCGTGATGTGCGCGGCACACTGCAGTACTATGTGTTCAGCTTCCGTGATATGGCTGAGTCACCTAACTTGACAGAGCCAGGCAAATGTATTTACACCATGAAATGAGTCCCTCCACCCCCAGCTCCTGTCAGTCAGCTGTGCCTCCCCCTCATTTCCACTCATAATTTTATGCTCATTTGAAATCATAAATATGCAGGGTTGACATGGCCTTTACGGAGAGTTCAGACAATTGACTCTGTGTCTGCTTGTTTACTGAAGCATTTTTTCTATCATTTGGCATATCGCTGTGAAGTTGAACCATAAAATCAAATCAGCGGCAATGAAACGATGATGCTTTAGATGTTCTGGTTGGAGTTTGCGGGTTGGAATTCACTTGGCATCGGATTTGAAGAAATTGCACATTTTTAGTCTATTCATTTGTGGTCCACTGAGAGCGAAAGTAAAATGAGATACCATAAAACATCACAGGAACATAATTTGATTCGGTTTTCACAGAAAGGCTTCACCTCCGAATGTGGCTCAATAAATTGGCTGCAGCCTCTGGATCGTCAGTTTATGTTTTGCTCTTTTCACTCCAATTACTTACCAGCGCTGTCTCATGCCTTGCTCGGGCACACTTGTATTTATTAGAAGGGCTGTTTCCTCTCCTGAAGCCCTAGAGGTCCATCATCTGGATCCTCCATCTCTCTTTGGGGACGTGAGAAAGCCTGGGAATGCTCTGTAAGAGATCAATGTCAATTTCGGACTGAAAGGGATAGACTGTGGAAAGACAGGGCCTTTGTATCAATAATGTACCCATAGTAATCCATCATCAGCTAAGAGCACAACTGTCATCAAAGGTTAAAAAACCCTTTCATTGAGTTGTCTGGCCATGGGACCAAGGGTAGGATGTTTTCTCTAACTATAGTCCTCAGTCTGCTGTAACATAAACTCTAGATGATCTGGATGACGGTCTATAGAAGTACATTCACTTCAGTGGTCTGTAATTGATGTTCATTACATTAACATTTATGCACATCGTTCGGCAGTAACGATTGTTTAAAGTGTAGTTCTCCCAAAAAATAAGAAAAAAATCGCTCATGGTGTTCCAATCCTGCATGCTTCTTCTGTAGAACACAAAAGGAGACATTTCGAAGAATGTGCTGGTCATTCATTTCCATGCAATTACCTGGAGATTTTGTTGCACGTCATTGACCCGGTTCCTGGTCTTTTAAGTGTGATGATTGAGTAACTGTCGGAGTTGAGATGTTTTTGTTGTGTCATAATGAAGTTATGTGAAGTTCGTTCTAGAACAGAATGCTGTGCAACAGGACTGTAAGACAAGCTCATCGTGAATTGCAGTGTTGCATAACTAAGACTTTGTCTCACAGCAATTCAAAAACGTCATAATTCAGTCATAAGAGAGTAAAAGTCCGTTCACACCATGAACAATAATTATAATGAGGAAAAAAAATTAACTTAAATGATTTTAGCAAATGGCTGCAATATAACAAAGAGTGAAAATTTTAAGGGGGTCTGAATACTTTCCGTACCCACTGTAAGTATGTGATAACTATTTTAGCATCCACACCAAATGACAGTAAAGTTATGTTTAATATAAAGCCCCGCTGCCGTTTTGCCATTTGCTCTATTTGATCTCTCTTGCTCATTCTAATTGCATAGATATGTTTTTATCATTCATAAGGCGGAAAAAGTGGTTCTGAAATTGATTCCAAGAGTATTGTTACATTGTGTTGTTATCGTTTAAGTTGTGGTGTGAACTTCTCTGTTCTCATACAATTAGAGCGCTTAAAACTTTATTCTTATATCGTTATTGTCCTTGGTGTGAACAGGCATATATGATATGATGAAAAGAATAGCCAGGATATTCTTTCCTTTTCTCGTCTTTCCTGGAATAGAGATATTTACAAGTTCAAGAACAACTTAGTGTGAATAATTGATCAGATTTTTCATTTTTGGATGAGCTATCGTTTTTGTTATGGAAGCAGCCATTTAGTTTTATGCTATAGTTTCTCAGTTTCTCACCTTGGAGATGTCTTGGCTAATAGCGCTCATTTTTTAGAGACCAATTAAAGCTTTCACTGCATTTTTATGCGGTATCCTGGAGAAATGCTTCATGCTGGCATTATCATGTTGCCGTTGTTTTATGTCTCAGCAGTTGCACACACTTATAAAAGCTCAGGTGTCCTAATCTGACCTCAGCTGAAAAAGAAGTTGCAAGCAACCTTTGCATTCTGGGACATATGGTTATATCTTACTCTCTGAAGCACTCACATGGCTCAGATTAGACTGATATGTGTTTTTAAGTGGTATAAATCAATGTAGTATGCATGAGTTTAGTAGGGCAACTGCAGGAACCATTTGCATGGATGCAGGTTGGCCTGTATATTTGCAAGCTAAACAAAGTTGCGGGTGTGTTATTCTAATACCAGATCAACCCCCACCTGTACACTGTGTGAAAATAAAAGCACAGAAAGATTTTTGTGTCAGATTCAGCCTCTCCTCTGGCGAGTGCATTTGAGGATTATATAACGCACACAGTGTTCTTTAGATCAAATGTACCTGACTATAAAACTCTGGATGTTCTTTATTATCTGGTCCCTGTCTTTAGATCTTGTAGATCACACACACACACACACACACACACATATAAGTGATACGGAGTGATTTGGCTAAAAATGATATCTTTTCAGCCTTTGATAGCTTAGTTGTATTTGTTCCGAA